TTTAACACTCCAGTGACGAAAACGTTATAAAACAGCTAATATAGGGATTAAAATACTACTTTTTTTAAATTTGATCACAAAAAATGGTGACATATATGACGCCAAAGTGACCATTCCTAGCAGGAAAATATGTACCTCTTCTTTCTACACATATTCTATTTCGGTTTTCGATCCAGAGCTCATATCGTTTTTGCTACTGGGCATCTGAAGTGGGAAAATCAATCAGTCCAAGAAGGATCTCAAACCCATGGTAAGAAAACCCTAACTTTCTAATTTCCTGAATTCTAGAGATTTTCTTCTTTTAATTTTTCGAAATCAGTGGGAAATTATCATATTTATGATGTGCGGTTTCAGTCGGCACTCTTCAATTTCCATTCATTCTTAACGGTAGTGCTTTTGGGAATCTGCACCTGCACTTACTTGAAGATGCAGTTCCCAGCAATCCTTGAACAGAGAACTGGGTATATCCCCCTCGCTCTTTTGCTAATTTTCTTTATCCATTTATTGTTGAATATGTCTCATTATTATATTTGTAGTTGATTTGAGCTCACATTTTTGTTTGAATACTGATTTTGGTGACTGAATGCTAGATTTTGTGCATTGGCATAATCATGTAGTTAGTTTCATAGTGTTGTTACTTGTTAAAGCTGTTTTAGCTTTGTAATTTGAAATGAGTACCTTTGGACTGTAAACTTTTGAGACTGGGGATGTTGGGGCGGTGGCTGCTATAGCCGAGGTGTATGTGTTTATATCAAACAGTTTGTTTCTCTATGTTCTTATAGATCTTCTAGCTTTATATTTTGGAATAGCTACATTTGAACTCAAAATATTTGAGATGGGGGAATGTTGAGGCAGTTGATATTGTAACCAACTATTGCAGAAAAGAAATTAAAAGAGAAAGATAAGGGAAAACAGATGATCGACTAGGCTGTTCTGGATTTTTGGCTTAGCATTCGAGTTTATTTTGTATTGTCTTGCTTTTGATGTAACTTTGCAAATTAAATCGACTGTTTTGGGGGCCACTGGCAAGGCAACATATATGGTCACAATGATATAGTTGTAACTTTAGCATTGGTGAAGTTGGAAGTAGAATTCTCAATCTTAACATGAGAAACTTTAGCTTTTATTTTTTTAATAAATCTTGTGGATCTCCTTGCATGACTTCAGTTAATCTTGGTCCTCTTTGTCTTTTCTCTTCTGTATCCATATCGGATAAGCAATTGTTTATATGCCTAGCATCTATAGGTTCTACTTTGTTATCACAATTCATTTTTAGGAAGTAAGAAATGGAGCTAATATGGTATAATATGTTTGTATGACAGGTTCCGTGGTTTCTTTTGGAAGGCGGCCAGAATAGGTGGGTCTTCCTAAACTGCTTGATTTGCTTCTTTCTGATCTCATTGAAAAGTTGGAATAGTCATGCCTACATTATCCCCTTGTGAATCTTCTTTGGACATATAATGTGAATCTAAAATGATGCTGGAAATGAGACTGAAAATGAATGAAAAAAATTTAGATCTATCGGTTTTAAATAAAGAAACTATGCATATAGAACTTGTTCTTTTTTTTGGATTTAAAATCTCATAATGTTATGAGTTAGAATTGGAATGTGTTGATATGTTGAAATGGGGTTTTAGATCAGTTATTTTTACATAAGAACAATGATCTATGTTCGATGTTCCATCATTATTGCCATAATTGGTTTTTCAAAGCAACTGAATCTATTTCCATATGTTGTTTATACCAACTAAAATGCAATTGACTTTTGAGTTCACTGCTTCAATCGGTGCTGAATGAACAATGATTGTTATAAAGTTGATATGAGATTTTGTTTGCTGGAAATCCATAATGATAAAAGTTGTCTCTTGTGCTATTTATCTAATAGGGCACGTTAATGTAAATGTTTGGCTAAATATCTCGTTTATACCTCACAATTTTTGCCATAAAACAAATACATTTATTTATTTCCTGACCATTATTAGTAAAGTTGCATAACAAGTGTTCCTTTTATTAGCAATGCATTACAATCTGTGGGACTAACTAGTATATTTATTGAATCAGGTGAACGGTTAAGTCCCTGGGTGGCTGTTGGTTGCTTCACAATGGGAGTCTCTATAATATTTTTCTGAACGAGGAGCACAGCGTCTAATTGTTCAGAAGAGGGATATGGTCTTTGCCATGTGAGCAAATGTGCCGCTTGTTGAAATCTAACATGTTCAAAATGTTTGAATGATGGGAAGAGTTTTGTTAACTTTTGGAAAAAACCTATATAAAAACTTATTCCAAAAGTACCTGAGCATTCTTTGGCTAATTGTTGTTTATTGATTATTATCATTATGTTCACATTGTCTTCTAACATTGTTTGAATGGACTACTGCAATTGCGTATTCGTTTCCTTTCGTTTATTTTGTCAAACCGTCTTGCCTTTTCTTCATGTGCCAACTGTCTTACTGAAACCCATTCCTTTGCTGACTGAAATTTCAGCTTGTTTCTATTTAGAAAAACAGCTTTCGTGTAGAGGATGCATAAGTTTTAGTTTGGTATAATAGAGGCTGTAGTTTGAGAATAGAGAAAATGATTGCAAGTGGCAAGATTTGAGCTTTAGAATGGATATATGAAGTAATTGAGTTAAACCCAATGTTTAGAGTATACCTATACCATGCATGCTAGCGAAATTTGGAATCTAGAATAAAGATGAGAAACATAGAAGAATCAAACTGAAATTAGTGCAACAGAGATGACTTAAAGCGGATCGGGAGACAAGCACTGACATAAACGGTAAGCTTATCCTTGAATCTCCTCAAAATCACGACCTTTTCACTACTCCAATGATATACAGATTGCATCATCTTCTTCATAGGCTTCTTTCCGGTACCATCCCCTTTGGCAGCCCTCACTGTTTCTTCTTCATCTTCATTTTCACCCCATTGAAGAGGATAGCTCTGCAAAAACGTTCTTCTATTATTGTAGTCTTCGTAGCGAAAGCTCCTACTTCTCGTCCCGTCTACTACATCTATCCTTTTGCAGCAATCCATACCAAACAATTAATGCCCGAGTCTCAGAATTCTCAGATTAAGCTGTGTTTTGTACGTGTATATATACATATATGGGAAATGGGGTGGCTACTAGGTTGACAGGGACAAGATGATAGCAAGACCTTATAGTATTTGATCTTGACAGAGTATTCCATTATTATTGTTATTTTAATATGCTTTTGATTTTCTGCAATGCTACCTTGATGGGGTCTCATTTCAGATTTATCATATCAAAAAGCAACGAAAGATAGAAGACAAGAGATGATAACTTGCCGTTTAGGGACAGTAGATGCCCACAGCATGTTAAGACGAAACTTGGATATATCTAAATACATGAGCAAGCAACATGGGCAGCCAAGGCACTTTAAGGGTAAGTCATAGTCTATAAACAAGGAATAAAAGATGAGATAATATTATGAGAAGTTTTCAAGATTTATTAATGGTTATCAATTTTTTATACACTACGAGAAATAACTAATAAATGAAAAACTTGCATTAGACCCTAATGAGTTAACCTTTGTTGACTATCCTTAATTTAGATTAATTATGTGATAAAACAGTGATGTTATACTATCATTAATTAAGTTAATTTAGATAAATTATTTAATTCCTAAATAAAGAATTGTTTTTAATATTAAAACTACTTTATATACGATATGAATATATTAAAATACTAACATTTTATTTATTATTAAATTATCCAAAAAAAGTAGCAACAACCAATATCTTTTTTTTCAGATTCCTGATATTTTTTTTAAGATTTTGTCATTTTTCATTTATTAATGAGCATATATAATTAGTTGGGTGTTTATTAACTAAAATAATCGTATTAAAAATGATAATCCCGAATAACATTAAACTTAACATGGTTCAAAGACCAAAAGAAAATAAACTCAATTCTATGTTGTAAAAATTCAAAACCTCCTCAAAATATATAGGAAAAACAAAGGTGAGAAAGCATTCTCATAGCATTGCTGAATAGGAAGCATCTAGGCTTGGGACTTCTTGGATTTGCTAGCTGCCAATTGAGCCTCAGGCTGAAAACAAAAGATGATTATTATCAAAAAAATATACAGAAAACAGCTGTTATTTTTTTATATAATTGGAGAATTCGGAGTATCGTACACACGAATTCTATTAATAGGTCGGATACGGATACTTCAAGAAAAATTAAAAATAATGACGGTTCATATAAAAGTTTAAAATAGTTACCTCTTTCTTGACAGGCTCTTCCTTCTCAGACAAAATCAACTCAATGTGGCACGGAGAAGACATGTAAGCTGGCAAAAATGAGAACAGATTCCAATTACACAGGAGAGCTATATAGAACAATCCATGTACCACAATACGTGCATGGTTTTAGTACATACGGTTGATTCTTCCATGTGCACGGTAAGTACGACGCCTTTGTTTCTGAGCCTGGTTTACTTGGATGTGAGAAATATAGAGGGCATCTACATCCAAACCCTTGACCTGAGAAATTGACATCAAGTTAGACCTGCAAAGAAAAGAATTAACAGATACTCAAAACCAAGGGACTGGGCATACCTCAGCATTACTCTCTGCATTCTTCAGCAAATCCAGGATGAACTTGGCAGATTTTACAGGCCAGCGACCTTGTCCGTTGGAATGACGGTTCTTTGCCTGAGCAGTTCGACCAACACCACCACAAAAGCGTCTGAATGGTATGGCCTGCTTGTGGGCCGTGACATCCTCCAAGTACCTCTTGGCCTTACCCAAAGGCAACTTTCTGAGGGCAAAAGCTGTCTCCCTTGTGTTCTATAGAACCATAACACAGTGATGAGGAACAGGAAACAGGAACAACACAAAATTGGCAACTAATAACTAAAAGAGAAGCAGAGTACTAAAACATAAAATCGAACCATACAACATTAAAATTTCTCAAGAAACAATTGAAATCATATCATATCAATCCAAAAACTAAATTCCTTACATAGGATTACAAAATGTAGCATCATTTACTGAGCCTTCAGGTACCAATAAAATACAGAGGTTCACCCAAGAACAATGCACGGGTAATTTTGCTGAAGTTTAAGAGAATCTAGTTCACAAAAGGAAACATGTTCTTTTTTACATCAGGTTTAGGAATCCAAAATCTCAACCAAAAATAGGACCAAAAAAATCAAAACGCCTCAAGAAACAATTTAACTCATATATGTATCAATCCCAAAACTTAATTCCTTATAGAGGAATACAAAATGTAGCATCATTTACTGAACCTTCAGGCACCAATAAATCCAGAGGTTCACCCAAGAACAATGCACAAGTAATTTTCCTGAAGTTTACGAGAACCTAGTTCACAAAAGGCAACAAGGCCCTGCTTTTTTACGTCAGGTTTAAGAACCCAAAATCTCAGCCAAAAAGAGGATCAGACAACAGCAGAACAACTCAATAAACAATTGAACTCATATCAACCCGAAAACTTAATTCCTTATAGAGGATTACAAAATGTAGCATCATTTACTGAACCTTCAAGCACCAATAAAATCCAGAGGTTCACCCAAGAACAATGCACAAGTAATTTCCCTGAAGTTTACGAGAGCCTAGTTCACAATAAGGCAAAAAAACCCTGCTTTCTTCATCAGGTTTATAATCCAAATTTTCAGCAAAAAATAAAAACGATGCATCACAAAAGTTTATAAAAAATTATTATTTTTGGGGATATTCAACAAACAACCAGAAATTTGAATCAATAATTAAGTAAAATTATATCAAAAAAATGATGATAATACCTTGAAATGGACCCTGAGATCAGAGCCCCTTGCCTTACAGGCTGCAAAAAATCAAAACCTAACGTCATTAGTTTCCGCACAAAGAATCTGGGCTTCATAAAAAAAGAAAGTGAAAAGCTCAAAGATGAACATAATGGGACTTTACACTTGGTGGGATTAATGGGCTCCTTCGAATACTTCACCTGAAAAAACATGGGTTCAAAACAAAATCGAGTTCAGTGTTACATAATCTCATAAAACAAAGTAGAGAGTTCAAAATATAAACCGGGAAAACAAATTTAAGAGAAATGAACCATGGCGGCTGATCTTGTTGCTGCTCCCGCTGCCTAAGGTGTTTTGCTTCTGCGGGAAAGCCGAGCATAAGAAATATACAACACAATTTGGACAAATATATGCATACTGATTAGGGTTTTGGATTATTTTTTTAGGGTTGGATTTTGGGCTAAGAAATCAAAAGTTGGGAAAATTTACAGAATATTGTTTGTATGGTCCAACCCAAAATCATATTTTATGGGTCAAACACTTTAGAGATCCAAATCCAATAACTGTTTTTTTAATTTAAAGGAAAAAGGAAATATTTTTAATATAATTTCTTCACTATAATCTCCATAAATTTGTTTGGATAATTATTTTTATGGAATATAAATAATATAAAAATAGGTTTAAAATAATATCGTTTATATTTACGAGAAAAACAAATCAGATTTTATATTTTAATAATATAATATTAAATATTTTAAATCTCAACGTTTATTTGTTTTCAATTTTGCAGTAAATATTGATCATTATTCAAGTAATTATTTTTATTAAAGAAATTATTTTGATCAAAACTAACTTTTCGAGGATTAAAGTGCTTAAAAATTAAGATTAAAACATGTTTTAGTATATCAACTTGTTCGTTTTCAATCTCTCGTATAATTTTACAATAGCATTCTCACTTTAAGACTCAATTGAACTATTTTGAGAGTTTAATGATTAATTTGAAATTCAACTCAAAATGTGAGGATGTCCCAAAGAAATTAACCCGTGTTAAAATAACAGAATGGAAATCATCAATTAGCAAGGCGTGAAAAGGCAGTTAGAAGCAGAGAGCACAAAAAGAAAAAAAAATGTACGGTAAAGCGGCAATTTGTTTAGCATTGGCGATCGTCTTCTTGGTTTCATGTTCAATCTATATCGGAAACGTTGATATCAGATCATACTTCTTCTCTTTACAGTCGGCGCAACGCTCAATATGTGCTACCGATCGTCCTCTCTGGGTTTACATGTACGACCTCCCTCGGAAATTCAATGTCGCCATGATGGGTCGCCGGTACGCTGAGGAAGCGGGTCCGGTGACCAGGGAGAACTTGCCGCTGTGGCCCGCCAATGGAGGGGTAAGGAGGCAACACAGCGTGGAATATTGGCTGATGGCCTCGCTGCTTTACGACGGCGAAGGCGGAGAAGAGAGGGGGGCGGTTAGGGTTTCGGATCCCGAAACTGCGGACGCCTTTTTCGTGCCCTTTTTTTCCTCGTTGAGTGTTAATACGCACGGACATAACATGACGGATCCTGAGACGGAGGTCGACCGCCAATTGCAGGTTATTGTAAAGTTAATCGATCGCTTCAAGGTGTTTAATTTCTATCAACTGAGCTTTAATGCGGTGTTTGGCTCTTGCATTGATTCTTTCTCTGGAACTTAAATTTGGGAACTTTTTGTTTAAAATAGGCATTCGATTAATGATTTACTAAGTTTTGAGGAAAGGAATGAAACTAGATTAGGGAGTCGGAAATTAGAACTTCCTGGCATAGCAATTTAGCTGATCCTGCTCCATTCTGATTGAGCAATTCGAAAATTCCTTCCAGTGGTAGCTCCGAAACACAAGAACCCAGTGGAAAAGTTTGAGCCAGAAGGATTCCTTCCAGACTTTTTTTTCCTCGTTGAGTGATTACTAGACACAGAAGGATGTGTTACAAGTTCTTTGCATCTTTGTTTTAAAGTAACATAAATATGACGTCTTTTTCTATTTGCAAGAAAGCAGTGAAGAGTTATGACCAAGCTTGACGGATTTTGACCCAGCTCAATTTAGTCGTTTTTTCTTTTGGAAGGATGGGTCGGGTTCGAATCCTTATTTTACCCAATAGAATTATATATATATATATATTTGTGTAGGGTCAGATCAGGTCGAGTGCGGGTTTTCTTCTAAAAACTGGGTTGACTTGGGTGCAGGGTTCGGGTGGGTAAAAAACCTGACCTATGACCATCCCTAATTATGACCTTGCACGATTGTTGGAGTTACTATCACGCCTCACTCATTGGATTTCTTTTATGCTTAATTACTAGTCTGTGCATTAATTGACATATGAGTTTTGTGCAGTTAATATCTATTACTTACAATGTAATGTATATTTCTCTCATTTTAGGCCGAGTTAGTGGAATTCTTGCGACAATCCAAGTACTATCAAAGGTCCGGAGGCAGAGATCATGTAATCCCCATGACACATCCAAATGCTTTCAGATTTCATCGACAGCAGTTGAATGCCTCTATTCTTATTGTTGTAGATTTTGGTCGCTACCCCAGAAACATGTCGACTCTAAGCAAAGATGTAGTTTCCCCTTATGTACACGTGGTGGAATCCTTCACGGATGATGACCCTCTAGACCCATATGAGAACCGAACTACCCTTCTTTTTTTCCGGGGAAATACTGTCAGGAAAGATGTATGTTTTTAAGACGCAAATGTTCTGTTTGTATAATTTCTGTTCTGAATGATATTACTCATAGAGACTGTTTTTGTTGCAGGAAGGCAAAATTCGAGTCAAACTCGCTAAGATATTGAAGGGTATTGCTGATGTTCACTACGAGAAGAGTGCAGCAACTCCATCTAACATAAAATGGTATGCTGCTTAGCTTGTCCCGTGGAGTATATTTCTAGGATTTCCGATCAACATTAGTTCAAACTTTTAGTTACCATACCTGGCTATTTGTACTTTATCTTTGGAAGTTCTCCACAATTTTTTTGACATGATCTACGCTAAGTTCATGTGATCTGTTATAGCTATTTAGATGTCCATATCTATTTGTCCTATCAACCCACAAATAGTAATCATGGACTTAGACTTGACACACCTACTAAGGATCATTATGTAAACCTCTCTGTAAGATTAAGAGGGGATTCTCTCTCTGAGTCAGATTACTTCCCGTTCCACTCTCTCTAAAACTTCCGACTGTGATTCTTCTTGTTCACTCTCTACTATCATAACCCAAATTTTACCATCAACAATTTTATATTTTTCTAGCAAATGTTTATGAAATAACCACGTTATGCTATACATCTTATTTCTTTCACCTTCTTGTGCGTTAGTCTACAAAGGGAATGCGCTTGTCGAAATTCTGTCTGCATCCTGCAGGGGACACTCCATCATCTTGCCGACTATTCGATGCGATCGTGAGCCACTGTATTCCGGTGATTGTCAGTGACAAAATCGAGATTCCCTTTGAGGACGAAATCGATTACACTGAATTCTCAATTTTCATCTCCATGAAAGAAGCATTAGAACCGGGTTATTTGGTCAATCTGCTGCGCCACTTTCCAAAGGAGAGATGGGTTGAAATGTGGGAACGGCTTAAGCAGATTTCCTATCATTATGAATTCCAGTACCCTCCAAAGAAGGAAGATGCGGTGTATATGTTATGGAGACAGGTAAAGCACAAGCTTCCCGGTGTCGAACTTGCTATACATAGAAATAGAAGGTTGAAAATCCCAGATTGGTGGCGGCGGAAAAGATGATTTCGGTTCTTGGCTTTCATGATTCTGCAAACCAGAAATCTTTTTTTCGCTCTCCTCATTTTTGGAAACAATGGTAGGAAGTCACAAGCCAACATCATGGGTCAACTTTACCAAGCTCACGAACCAGCGTTTTACCAGCATTGTGGTGAGCAAGGTAATTCTGATATGATTTATTTTTCTAGTATTTTTTTTGTCATAGCTACGGGTGTAAATGAACCATAAACAAATGAACAAGGTTGTATTTGTGTGTTTTTTTTAAAGTTTTTTATGTCCGATTCATGTTCGTTAAATTTTTTATATTATATTCTATTAGAAAAAAATGTTAATCCGAGATAAAAATAATAATAAATAAATATTATTATATAATCAAACGAAAAAAATAAATAAAGAATTAAAATAGAGGAATGTGATTTATTTACTCGTATTTGGACACTGAATAGGATGAGTAGAGTAAGATAAATCGAAAAAGGATTTTTGTTAAGGCATGTATGAACAGTTTCCTTAAGACAAATTCGTTTTCTCTTAGGTGCTTTGAGTAGCATTGGACTTCGGTCTCCCAGGATACAACAACAAACGATCACAATAGTAAGTACTACCGTAGTGATCAGTCGAACACAATTTGCCTTTCTCTATCATCGGAAAGAACGAATTTGGAAGAAATTTTCTAAGTGTTTTCTAATTCAACATTGTGAATTGTGTCTTGTAACTTTGTTGATGTGTCTTAGAATTGTACCTCAAGTAACCTATATATAAGGAGATGAAATTGATTGAGAGGTTAAGACCTTTAGATAAAAAGATTTAACCTTTTGATTAAAAGAATTCTCCTTTTGATGAAAGGGCTTAACCTTTTCATCAAAGAATTTAATATTTTCATGATGAGAATTGTTGAATAGGTATGATTGAATGAATGCAACTTTAAATCAAAAATTAAGTTCATTCACCAAGTGAAATGAATTATAATTAATTTGTTACAAATATCATTAGTTTATTCAATTTTTCCAACAATCCCCCGTATGAATGAACCTTCCCTTGTGAAAATATGTTTACCTTATTGGTTGTCCAGTAGACGTGATGTCCTTGAACTATCCTATTATTGGTGTAAGTGATGACATACCTCACACAAATATCTCACTGACAATAATTTGGTTCTCATGGTTATGTTCATATAGTCGTGGACATCTCTTGGTTCTGCAAGAGTTTAGAGAACTATGCCCCAATAGTTAGGCCTGTAAATGAACTGAACGTTCAGCGAACCGTTCATGAACTGTGCAGCGGGAAGTTCGTTTATGTTCGTTTATTTATTAAATGAACGAACATGAACACGATTTTGCGTTCGTTTAATTAAATGAACGAACACGAACAAAGGGCTCGTTCGTTCATTTACGTTCGTGAACGTTCAATTACATTCGTGAACGTTCAATTATATGTTCGTTTATGTTCGTTCATTTATGTTCATTTATGTTTTTTCATTTATGTTCATTTATGTTTTTTCATTTATATTCATTTATGTTTGAACAGAGGGCAAGTTGAATATGTTACGAATGTTATTGAAGTTGTTTGGATTTCAAGAAGATTATTTTGTTGAACAAATTAACTTTAAGACTTTATTATGTTCATATAGCTTCTTTATGATTTATGCATATTTTTATCGTATTCGAACAAATTAACTCTAAAGTTGCAGGTTATATTAATGAATTTTATGTTTTTATTCTTATTGTTTACTTTTTTTACATTCATTTGTTGTGTTCGAATAAGTTTTTTTGTGTTGTTCGTTTATTGTGTTCGTTTATGTTCATTTATTATGTTCGTTTGCGTTCGTTTACGTTCGTTTATCATTTAAATGAACGAACATGAACAAGATATATTCTTTAATGAACGAACATGAACAAAAAAATTTGTTCGTTTATGTTCGTGTTCGTTTATGTTCGTTTATTTATTAAATGAACGAACATGAACATACCTCCGTTCGTGTGCGTTCGTTCGTTTACAGGCCTACCAATAGTCTCTTTGAAACAGCTCCGCTTTACTCTTACATAGGTGACTTATGTTGTTCGGTTCAAGGAAACACATATTGGTCATTAAAAGCATTGCTTAACCTCATCCACATTTTAGTTATTGTTTTCAATATAGAATGGACTTGAGATAAGGACCCCTATAGTGACCTCACAAGGTTTATGCAAGTAGGTTGTCCATTGAATCTAGATCTTTGGATCTCTAGTCAATTAGGTTGGGTTTTCCTTCACATAGTGCCTTAAATATTAATGAGTTTTAGTCACATTCCTTTCGATGTTTATCAACTTGATCTTGATTCAACTCATTGTTTAGCAGATCCACAATGTTATATTTTGATCTTACAAAATCAATATAGATAACTATAGTTGAGATCAATTTTTTAATGATATTATATCGACGACGTATGTGTCTCAACTTACCATTATACTTATACAAGGCACCCCCACACTTTGATGTAGTTGTAGGAAAATTTCTACATTTTCATAACTCATATGGTGTCTCACCTATTTTCTTGTAAATTACCTTATTTAAAGGTAATTTGATAATAAAATAGCTTCCTACACATGTTCTGTGACAACTCAGAATATGGTCAAATGTCATTCAAAATTCTTTGGCAATCTTATGGATATTATACACTTCATATGGTGTATATGACAATCCATTCAAGATGTAATTTCGACATAAAAACTTAGAATGCTTTCAAGCTTTAATGAAAACAATGTCTATCTCATCCTCTATATGAATATGATGATCATCCTATATTTGATCATATTCAAAATGATTAAATATAACATCTTATGTCACTATGTCTTGAAATTCTATTCATGAATTTCACATGCTTCTCGTTGTGGCTCACAACTACTGACATCGTTGAATTTTATTTAAAGTCTAAATAGGAATCAATATTTCAAATCACGAGTTAGGTGAATCAGTGAGGTTGTCATTGTTTCGTTTAAAACACGTAACCAAAATTTGTAAATATTCCAATAATAAATTGAAAGTTAATTCAATTTATTTTACCATTTGTTTCTGTTAAACAACAAAATTTTAATTACAAATTAAAATTCTAAAACAAAATTTGTAACAATGTTGCTACCTCCAAACGATTTCTGATATCAACAGTAAATCAAATAAATTTTGTTGGTCAACATTATTAGAATCCTGAAACAAAATTATAGGCACGATTTTTGTTCACAGCCATATCTTAATTTCGTTTGGTACCTTATTTATCACAACAAATTTTAGTCAAAAAAATTCAACAATTGAGTAATTTCTACTAAACGACGGGAATTTAGTAAAACTAAAACCTGAAACAGAAATGTAAAATTAACACTATTTTGTTGAATTCATTAAATATCATGATTTAGAACTAAAATCCAAAACAAAACCAACTTCTGTTGGACAACCGGATTAAAACCCAAAACAAAACTAATTTATGTTGAACGACGAGAATTTAATAAATTAAATCTCGAAATAAAACTAACTTATGTTGAACGGTGAAAAATTAATAAAACTCGAAACAATAGTATAATCTCAATGTATAAATACACATACCTTTTCGATTTCTTGATCGAAATTCACCATTCGACATAAAAAAATTACAAGCCTTATCACGTTACATCAGGGCTTGTGGACGGGATAAAAATAGAGATTCTTTTCTTTGAACCTGCAAAAGGTTTTGAAGTCATAATGTAACATCCCAATTACCGGGTAAGTGACTAAATTGTAAGAATTTATAAATTTAGTTGGTGAATTAGAATAAAGTGATAAGTCTAGTGATTTATAGAGGAATTTTGTGTTTTGGGTATGATAGTAAATATGGAATTATAATAAGGGTAAAAGGGTTATTGAGCAAATAAAAGAATAAAATAATAATTGTGGGTATTATAATACCCATGTGAATGAATTGAGGAGATAAGTTTTCAGAGACTTATCTTCTTCATCTTCTTCTCTCAACGTGAGGCGCCCAAGCTCAAGGTAAGAATTTGAACCTTGGTCGTTTCTTTGATTTTTAGTTTGGAAATGGAAGTTTGGATATTATATAAGCTAAAGGCAAGCTTATATGACATTAAAACAACAAGATAAATGTTTTAGAGATAGATTTGAGAAATGGGTTTTTAGATGAAATTTCGATATGGATGAGTTTTTGAGGTTTGAATAAGATTTTTAACTTGTCAAGAGGTTAATTAAAGGGTTAAGAGTGTTAGAATTGATTAATAACATGTTTGAAATTTGGGTATGATTATTGGTTTTAAGAATTTGAATAAAGTATTGGAAATAATAAAGTGTTGAAATGATAGAAGTTAGTTAAATGGTTGTAGTTAAGTTTGGTGGTACGAAAGAAACTTTGTATGAGAAATTTAGTGAAGAGTTGATGATTTTCGGGTTTGAACAGTAAAATCTGGGTAAATTTTACAGATTATGAAGAGGGATCCAATACCCCTGGGGGGAATCGATTCCCCCTAAAGGAAAGTTGAAGTTTGGTTCATTAAATTTGTTTAATCTATTAGATGTTAATGATAAGGTTTAGGCTTTTGATAATTGTCTCGGAAATTATGTTTATGTAGATATCGAGCCTAAATGAGTTCCGGAACAAGTGCCAAGTAAGAACGATCGAGGGATTAGAAACGATTGATAAAGAGATAAGTTCTAGAATTGGTTCAAATCCAACAAAGCTAAGGTGGTACATATTATAAGTATAGTACAATGGAATAGGACTTGTGATAAGTCTAATTCCTATGTTGATTTTTATAGTACAATAGTTATGAACATGCATACAT